AACACAATTTTTTTTATTTTCAAATCGCAATAACTTTTGAATGAATGAACTGATTTTCACGCGGTTGGTGGCATTCGACGCAGTTTTTTAAGCCTCATGGAAAATCTTTGAGTTTATATTGACAGAGTGGAAAAATTCGGAGTAATTTCGAAAAAACGCTTTTTTCGGTTTTCTTTCGTCTACGATAACTCACGAACGAATTAATCGATTTTGACCGGACTGACGGCGATCGACGTGGGTTTTTGATGTTAAGAGCTGATAAGTTTTTGAAATTGATCGGTAATGCCGTTAAAAAGTTATTCCAAAAAAACCACTTTTGAAAAAATTTTTTTTTGTAGTTTTTTTGCGATTTCTCAAAATCTACCGGTCCGAATCGGTCCAAAGTGTATTGGAAATCTAAGTTTGGTCAAGCCCTTTCGAATGGCACCAACCGTGATAAAATCGGTCAAGCCGTTTAAAAGTTATGAGAGGTTCACATACATCCACAGTGTGGATTCCACACACACACACACACACACACACACACACACACACACACACACACACACACACACACACACACACACACACACGCACGCACGCACGACACCACCGCGGGGGTAGTCAGGGAAGCTTCCTATGACCTTAAACCGTCGAGATCTGGTCAAAACTCGATTTTTGCAAAACAGGGTGAAAACAATAACTTCCCGATTTTTGAAAATCTGAGATTTTTAGCGGGAAGTTAAAAATGGTTTCTTTTAATAATTTATCAATTCTTTATCAGATCGATTTTTTTCTCAGAATTTCGGCAAAGCTCTCTTATCCATCCCCTACGAAGTTGCCCATGCTCAACAATTTCCGTTCATTGGCCAAGGCACGGCTACTAATGCTCGGCCAAGCATCGGCGTTTTATATCGGCCTAGCTTCGGTAAACCATCGGCTTTATTGTTTGGCTAAGCATTGGCGATTTGTACTGGCCTAGTCTAGGTAAGCCATCGGCTACCGCACGACATTTATTATAATATAATGGTATGTGATTTGATTATCAGCCATTGCTTGGCCGATGCTCTGGCTAATTGTTTATTACACTTGAAAACAATAAATACGTGTTAGTCATTAGTCATTACTATGTTGTATTATTGTTTTAATTTAACGTTTGACCAAATTATAAACTAATATGTACTAAAAATTAGTAAATCAATTTTTAAAAAATATCTTACGAGATTTTTTTAGGAGAAAACACCAATTTAAATTATTAACAATGCTTTTTTTTATAAATATTATATTGATCGTTTTTTAGTTTTTAATAAACATTTTTATTATTCAACAAGCTCTATTAAGATTAAATCAACATTTGTTTTCACTAAAACAGATTTAATGAGTAATGAATATTTTTTTAGAGGACTTTTTCGATAAATTTTTACATCACCCAATCAGTTAAACCTATTTCTTTTAGTATTAAAAAAATATTTTAGCAAGAAATTAATGATTTTCAATAACCCTAGCGGTTTCGACGACTCAGCGTAAACTCGGAGTTTACGCGGAGTTACTATTGAGTATACGCCCTCTCGGAGTTTAATCGGGGTATAAGCGGAGTTTACGCGGAGTTTTAGAGGTGTATGCAAGGAGTTTCGTGTGCAGTTACGACACGGAGTCATAAAAGTGTATTATTAGAGTTTTCGAGAAGTTTTCGACGAGTTTTTTCGGAGTCGCTATGGAGTTTATCTCGCGTTTTTGTTGGATATTTTCGGAGTTGCAGTGGAGTTTTTTTTTGGCGTTTTCGTCGAGTTTTTGTCGAGTATTTTCAGAGTAGATAGGGAGTTTTTGTCGAGTTTTTTTCGATGTTTTGCGGAGCTTTATAAGAGTTTCGCTGGTGTTTTTTCGGAGTTTTGGCAGTGTTCTTATGGAGTTTACTCGCGATTAATAATACTTCATGGGATGAAAATTAAATTTGATTTCACAAAGACGACTATAAATAAATTATTTTTCAATTACGGTGTAGTTTTTATTAATTTATTTATTTATTTACAAGTTTAAATATATTTATTTACATAGAATATGTTATTCAATAAATATATTATGAAGTTTATCAGTAAAATATACGATACATAAAAAAAAATGACATCATAAAAAAATTGTCAAAAGTTTACAGTTGATCTACTGAAACAATATTATCATAACTTAAATTAGAATTTTATCAATACATAAAGTGATTCGAAACTTTAATCGGTTTCCGTAAGATAGACAGTGTTGTTTATTACTGCGGGTCTTATTAAGTGACTAAATAGTAGATACAAACAATGTCTCAGATAGCTTGACCAGTTGAGTCCTTGACTTGTAATGGATTACGGTTCGGGTTCGAGTCCCGGTCTGTCCGAATTATTTTTTTCGGTTTTTCATTCATTATCCATCAGAAAACTCTGATGAAACTCGCAAAATACTCTTGGAAAGCTCCACAAAAACTGAAGACGCCGACTAAACTCGACAGAAAATCCGAAAAAAAACTGATAAAACTCGGGGAAAACTTCATGAGAACACCAGCGGAATTCCAACCAAACCCCGTAACGACCTCAATTAAACACCAATTGACCACTATCGTCTTCATGTGTCACAACTGCACACAATACTCCGAGTTTACTCCCCACATACGCCGACTATACTCCGTCGTTACGCTGAGTTTCGGACGAGTTTCTACAGAGTTCTATCGGTGGCACCGAAACCGCTAGGGAAATAATTTATTTACTTACGCAGATTTTTATTATCATCCAATAATTTTTTATTGTCTCTGAAACATTTACGTAGATTTTTTTGTATTCGTTTCCTTCCTACCTTGACTTGCTTAGATTCAACGTTATTATTCATATTATTTTGCTCCATTGTCAATTCAATATTTTCTTTTTGCCGTGTTCGTGAGTTTTTTTTTCCATAAATTTTGTTGTTTGCGACGAGCTCGCTTTTCTCGTTCGGATAATTGATCAATTGAATTGAGTTTTCCTTCCTTTTTCCTTTTTTCATTTCTTGCTCTTTCACTCTGACAGTAATTTTTGTAAGCATCTGGATCGTTCCGTCTTTTTTCTCTCCTTAATTTTTCAGCAATACGTTTTTGTTCCAAACGATGTTGTTTTACTTCGGCACTAACTTTATTTTTACGTTTGACTTTTATTTTTGAAGACAATTGTTGAATTTTTCCACTTTTATTGTCACTTGTATCAGGTAACTTTTTAGTACGAAGTACTGGTGCCATCTGTATTAAAAAAAATCTGGAAAACGGTTGACCCTAAAGGCCATCTCTGCAACTTCCCGCCAATTTCACACCTAAACGTTTGAAATTGCACTTATGACGTTTCTGAGCTCTTCGAGCTCACAAATAGAATTTGTGTGTTATTTTGAGCTCTCCGAGCTCAAAGAATTACCTCTTGTATGCTTTAGAGCTCTTCGAGTTCAAAAGAAAATGAAGTTTTATAAAACTAGGAAGTTATTTTTTATTATTAAAATTCAGAAATTGTTCAATTATGAAATAAATAGAAAAATTCGTAACAACAATCAAGTTAACTCAATTATACTGAGAAAAATTGATTGGTGAACATTGAAATGATTAAATTAAGAATACTACACTCAGTTCAGTTAGCAGCGCCCGTGACACCGCTCGAGACTTCCACGCAGACGAACCAGGTTCAAATCCCTTCACATCCGAATTTTTACAGAATTAATTTCTATCAACCAGTAGTCCATCACCTCAGAATAATAATAATTCAAAAATAAACAACGAAAAAAAAATTTTTTTAATTATTTTACCTAAAATTTGATTTTTTGCCTATGCTTGGCCGATGCTGGGCCAATGCTTGGTTATTGTGTTCGGCCGATGCTCAGTCGCCTATATCGGCTGGGTGTTACCATCCGATGCTCGCCCAGTCTTGGCCCAACGATATTTCACGATACTCGGCCGATACTTAAATATCGGTTACCAGTCTTGGCCCAGTATCGGGCCGATCTTCATTTTTTGTATGGGTAAGCTAAATGCCTTCAAGCATTATAGAATCACTTGATTTGTCTGAAAGTTATTGCAGTTCAAATGTTTTCGAAGAAGTGTTTTCATTGAATACAAACTGGACTTTTGAGCTCAAGAGCGTATTACAGTTTTATTTTAGAACTTGGAGTGCTAAACATAGTTGTAAAACAATGTTGTTGAGCTCGAAGAGCTCAAAAACGTCGTAATACGTGAAATTTATAGCGCTTTACATTCGAAATTAGTAGGGAATTGCAGAGAGGGCCTACAGGGTTAACCATTTTATTTATTTATTTTTTTAAATCCTCAATAAAACCATTTCTCACTGGGATACAGCCCGTCAAAATTCACTAAAAAAAATTCAATTTTTTTTGCTCCTTTAATTTTTTTTTTCAAAGATCTTAATTTTTATTCTTGCTCACCAAGTCTGCCGGTACAACTATTTTACTCACATCTTTTTATAAAAGAGTACTTTTATTGAAGTTAAGATCTATTTATCGTAGAGTAGTGTTTTTTTTGTGCTGATCATTGTTACTTTGTTATGAAAAACTAAGTTATAAAATTTTTTATAAACGATTATCATATTCACGATATAGATGCTGGTAATGAAGATCTATTTTTGTCCATCAAGGGTAACATACTTAATAGTATATCTTCTGACACAGTTGAATGGCGCAGATCTTATAGTCGACCTGTCAAATCAGTGAGACTTAAAGTTTCTTTTGTACCGTTCTCTGCTGATAATTTGTTTTCATGTACTTATGAAAATTTAATAAAGCAACCAGTATTTCATGTTTATATAAATGAATGCGCGGTAAGTCGAATCAATAAGATTCTTTAAGGAATAGTATTTTTAAATGTATTTAATTGTAGGATATGGACGCATATAAACTATCACTAAAAGATGATATTGACAGTTGGCTGAAAGTTTTAAATCAGCATAATATTCAAGATTGGATGATTGTTCTTGTAGATACTTATGACAGTAAAAAAGCTAGTAAAATCATACCCCGAACAACAGTTCTCGACAAAATTCGCAATGATTTTGCGATAAAACACGGAGATAGGTAAATATATATGATCAAGCAACTAATAATTACTCATAATTCATGATAGGTAATATTTTTCCTTATAGATGCTTGTCTGTTTTAAATCCAACAAAATTTGAATCACGTTCAGCTGAATCTTGGAAAGGATTTATATCGAGAATTCAGCACTTCCTACTAGTTGCTTATGATAGACAACTTATAAATTTTCAAGAAATTATCAGAGAACAAAGAGAATGCCGAAATAAAAAAAACTGGAGTTTTTGTAAATACTTTATTCTTCAGGTTTTATTTGTTTGTTAATCATATAATTTTTAAAAAGTTAAAAAGTTTTCATGAATAATTATTATTTCTGATCTTCAACTAGGAAAAACTTGCCTTTATTTTGGAAATGTTAGGCATATACGATGAAGCTTTAGTGCAGTATGACGAACTTGACGCGTTATTTACTCAATTTATTCTTAACTGTGATGTTGGAGGTTGGTATTGTAATTAATATGCACATTAACGAAAATTTATATGCATTCCAAACTGAAATCAAATGTTATATTTAGAATTAGAACAATAACATTTTTTTTTATCGATTATATTATTTTATTGTCAGAGCTTGAAACTTAAACAAATGGTTGTGTTCTAATCTATCTGAAAGTGGTATCGCTACAAGTCTTCAATAATTTGATCCCGGTGAACACATGACGTTCATCTGACGTCAGTCGAATGTCATAAGAATTTCACAAGATTTTGACATAAGTTTGACGTAAAACTGACCTTCCCTATGATCTTATTATGATGTCAAAACCTGTGATGTCATTTTTACATCATTCTGATATAAAAAATGTTATGTCGTATTAAAGTCATTATTGTACGTCATAATGACGTAACTTTACCATCATCCATTTACGTCACTGGTAAGTCACGGTTTTACGAAATACTGATGTAACTTTCAAGTCATACATATACGTCACTGGTAAGTCACGGTTTTACGTAATACTGATGTAATTTTCAAGTCATACATTTACGTCACTGGTAGGTCACGATTCTACGTAATACTGATGTGAGCTTCGTCCCTTTTTTACATCAGTTAGAAGTCACAGTTGTACGTAATATTGACATAAGTTTAAAGTCATCTTTTTACATCACTGAAAAGTTCTGATTGTACCTAATACTGATGTAACTCTGAACTCTTTTTCTTACATTAGTGAAAAGTCACGATCATACGTAAGGCTGATTTCATTTTGAAATTATACCCTGTTAAAAAAGAAAAGTATTGATGAAGATAATAGAAACCAGTTATGAAAAAACCAATACTTTTCAATTCTTTTGCCATACTTGTTTTTATCAGGATGCGTCAGTGTTAAGTTACGGTTTGACATGATATTGATGTAACTTTGGAGCAATGGTTTTCCATCATAGATTTGTTGGAATTAAGCAGTAAAAAATTCATTCAAAAAAAGTCTAGGGGAAGAGGGAGGACAAAACGGAATTTATCTAAGGAAATATTAAGTTTTTGGGGACCCAAATATTGTTAATATCCGGGAAAAAATGATCAGACCTGATCAGACATGAACAGGCATGAGTCTTCAATACAATATATATATATATATATATATATATATATATATATATATATATATATATATATATATACAACGGAATCGTGCTTCTTCAGAAGTTGTAATAGATGTCCAAACAATGAAGAAATCATTAATTACTTTCATGCATCGTTTAAAGAATCTGATGTAAATGAAATCGAATTTAAAATGTGGACATCAACCGATCGATGTACCATTGTAAACGTTATTTCAGATTCCGATTACTTTATTGATATCTTAGCGACGCAACTTGAGAAACTTTTAAAACATGATTTTATAGTAAAAATACAAAGTCGGTTTTTCTCTAATGCGAAATTAAATTTGAAGAGTGGCGAATTAGCGGTAGTTTTTGACTTTGGAGAAAACTACGTTTGTTGTGCAGGAAGCTGCCCAAGGCTATCATTGGAATAATGACCAAGCTACTTTATTTCCAATGGTGGTTTACTAAAACGAAAATGATACTATTAAGCATTTTAGCTTAGTTGGTATCTCAGATTGCCTTAAACATGACACAGTTTTGATTTATTTATTTCAAGAACAATTAATTTCTTTTTTAAGAGAAAAATTTGCTGTTATTGAAAGGATTTTTTACTTCTCAGATGAAGCACCTCAGCAATTTAAAAATAAGAAAACATTTACTAATCTATGTTATCATTATGCTGACTTTAGAATCATCGCTGAGTGGCATTTTTTTGCGACTGCCCATGGCAAAGGACCACGGGACGCGCGGGCTTGGAGGTTCAGTAAAACGACATGCTGCTATTAGAGCTTCATTACAAATGGAAAATAAAAAACATACTGACACCACAAGATTTGCATTCCTGGGCAATCAAGAATTTTACAAGCGTTGATTTTACTTTCATAACGAATGATGATTATTTAGACAAAAAAAATATGTTAGACGTACGATATTCTTCATCAAAAACGGTAAAGGGTACACAGACATTGCACACTTTTACCGATAAATGATGGAATTGGATATGCTTTTATTAAAACTGTACCAACATCTGAAAAAAGTCAAAAAATAAAAGTATTTCAATTATAAAGATTTCACGTTTAATATAATTGTGATTGAACAAAAAATATGCACATCGTGAAAACCATACTCTCTAAACATGAATTAGTGAAAATTCACTGGAATAAGTGGATATTCACTTTTTTTAAGTGCCAATCGAGCCACTTTGGTTTTAAAGTGGCTCGATTGGCACTTAGAATTAGTGAATATTCACTTATTCCAGTGAATTTTCACTAATTCATGTTTAGAGAGTATGGTTTTCACGATGTGCATATTTTTTGTTCAATCACAATTATATTAAACGTGAAATCTTTATAATTGAAATACTTTTATTTTTTGACTTTTTTCAGATGTTGGTACAGTTTTAATAAAAGCATATCCAATTCCATCATTTATCGGTAAAAGTGTGCAATGTCTGTGTACCCTTTACCGTTTTTGATGAAGAATATCGTACGTCTAACATATTTTTTTTGTCTAAATAATCATCATTCGTTATGAAAGTAAAATCAACGCTTGTAAAATTCTTGATTGCCCAGGAATGCAAATCTTGTGGTGTCAGTATGTTTTTTATTTTCCATTTGTAATGAAGCTCTAGCAGCATGTCGTTTTACTGAACCTCCAAGCCCGTCGCATGGTCCTTTGCCATGGGCAGTCGCAAAAAAATGCCACTCAGCGATGATTCTAAAGTCAGCATAATGATAACATAGATTAGTAAATGCTTATTTATTTTTAAATTGCTGAGGTGCTTCATCTGAGAAGTAGAAAATCCTTTCAATAACAGCAAATTTTTCTCTTAAAAAAGAAATTCATTGTTCTTGAAATTAATAAATCAAAACTGTGTCATGTTTAAGGCAATCTGAGATACCAACTAAGCTAAAATGCTTAATAGTATCATTTTCGTTTTAGTAAACCACCATTGGAAATAAAGTAGCTTGGTCATTAATCCAATGATAGCCTTGGGCAACTTCCTGCACAACAAACGCAGTTTTCTGCAAAGTCAAAAACTACCGCTGATTCGCCACTCTTCAAATTTAATTTCGCATTAGAGAAAAACCGACTTTGTATTTTTACTATAAAATCATGTTTTAAAAGTTTCTCAAGTTGCGTCGCTAAGGTATCAATAAAGTCATCGGAATCTGAAATAACGTTTACAATGGTACATCGATTGGTTGATGTCCACATTTTAAGTTCGATTTCATTTACATCAGATTCTTTAAACGATGCATGAAAGTAATTAATGATTTCTTCATTGTTTAGACATCTATTACAACTTCTGAAGAAGCACGATTCCGTTGGATTATTAAAAACCAATTTATTCAATAAATTTTTATAAATTGGTTGAGTTTCCATAATCCAATCAGCAATCAGTATTTCTCGCAAATTTTGAAAAATTACATCCTGAATAAGAAAATGGAATCGTAGTTGTGAGCGCCATCTGCATCGGATAAACTCAATTTTTTAACGAGTAGTTTGAAATTTTAAATATTTAACGGAAATTATCCGGAAATTAATGGAAATTACCCGGGAAAAAATGATCAGACATGAACAGGCATGAGTCTTCAGGCCTGATCAGACATGAAAAATGACCATGCCTGATCAGGCATGAATTTACCTGATCAGGCCTGATCAAACATGTTCAGGTCTGAAAGCCCATTGTTACTTTTAATTAATTATTTTGCTTAATTTTATGGATATAGTACTTGATAGAGTCACACGCAATTCTCTATAATGAATTAAAATAGAAAAAAAAATAATTAGATATAATTGTACGGCTGTAATACCAGCAGTCACCCATCCAACTACTAACCACGCTCAATACTGTTTAACTTTGGTGATTTCCGTGCGCCTTGAAGTTCCCGCCTGCTGTGCTGCTATCTTATGTGACAATTCTATGAAGTACATCACGTATCAAAAATAAGCTTATCATAAATATAATATAAAAATTGGTTTTATAATATATTTTGATAGTCCTAATTTATTTATTTAACCGAATCTCATTATAACATCACATTTATTTAAATAATAAAATAAGTAATGATTTTAATATTAGGGAGGAGCAGAGCAGACCAAAAAACATCCCATAGAAAATGTAACAAATTTTTTATTTCAAAATAATTTAAACGTAATGATAAAAATAATTTTGCACATTTTGTGATGATCAAAAAAATTTTTTTCGTCAAAGAATAAATTTTTATCACATCTCTGACTATGCAAGTCTGATCAGATCTATCTCGGAAAAAAATGATCAGACCTGACCATGTCTGTTCATGTATGATCAGGCCTGAAATGAGACCTGCTCATGTCTGTTCATGTATGGTCAGGCCTGAAATTAGACATGGTCATGCCTGTTCATGTCTGAAGTGTTAAATACGTTCAAGCCTGATCGTGTCTGTTCATCCCTGTTCATGTCTGAAGCGTTAAATACGCTCAGGCCTGACCATATACCTGTTCATACCTGTCCATGTCTGTTTATGTTTCAAGCGTTAAATACGCTCAGGCCCGATCATACCTGTCCATGCCTGTTCATGCTAAGGACCAAATATGCTAAGAAAAAATTTTCAAATATGTTCAATGTACATTAATTTCGATTAATAAATTTGTAAATTATCAATAAACAGTATATTTTATTATTAAATAAATAAAAGTATTTTGATTATCATTAAAAACCTACCGTAGGGTACATTTAATTAACTTTTCTAGGCATGGACAAGCATGAACAGGTCTGAGAATATTTAATGCTTCAAAAATTAACAGGCCTGAGCGTATTTCCCCGTTTCAGACATGAACAGGCATGGACAGGCCTGATCAGACATGAACAGACATGAGCGTATTTAACCCTTCAGACATGAACATTCACGGGCAGGTATGGGCAGGCCTGATCAGACATGAACAGGCCTGATCAGACCTGAGCGTATTTAACCCTTCAGACATAAACAGGCCTGATCAGGCATGAACAGGTCTGATCAGACATGGCTCAGCGACTAAATATCCCCGGACATAACATCCCCCGACTCAACATCCCTGGACATTACATCCCCCGGATACCACATCCCCGGACACTACAACCCGCGATGCTATGTCAGCGTCATAAGTCCGTGATAAATTTGGGAATTGGGTAAATAAAGGATAAAGGGGAAGGGGAGGACCTTATTTTACTCAGTAGGAATCTCTTTAGTGACCGAAAAAATAATTCGGACAGCCCGTACCGGGAATCGAACCCGGATCGTTTGGTTACGCGCCAAAGACTCTACCAGTTAAGCTATCCGAGACCACTGTCAGTAACTACTATTCAGTCACATATTGAGACCCGACTTGAGTAAACGCCACCGTCCATCTTACGGTAATAACAAATATTAATTTGTATTTAAATTTGTCGTGTAGATAAGTCAGCGACATGATCGGGGATACAATGTTGGGGATACAACGTCATGGGGGTATTCCGCCCTGGGGGGTATTTAGTCGTGGGATATTTTGTCGCGGATATTTTAGTCTTGGGATATTCCGTCGCAGAGCCATCAGACATGAACAGGCATGATCAGACCTGAGCGTGTTTAACCCTTCAGACATGAACATACCTGTTTAGGCCTGAGCGTATTTGACGCTTCAGACATGAGCAGGCATGGACAGGCATGATCATATCTAATTTCAGGCTTGATCATGCATGAACAGGCATGATCAGGCATGATCAGGTCTAATTTCAGGCCTGATTATACATGAACAGGCATGGTCAGGTCTGATCATTTTTTCCCGGGAAATGAAAAATTTAATAGTGAGAAAAAACTGTGATCATTTAGAAGTTGGAATAAATTATTTTCTATGCATACTACCCACAAAGAAGTCTGAATTTTTCCCGATTTTTGACCTGCTGTATCTCAGTAAAAAATGATCGTATTTCAAATCTAAAAAGATGCATTTTAAGGCTTTAAAACTTCATGATTATAGTTTATAGATTTTCTGACAAAAAATTTTAGCTAAAAATGGCATGAAGGAGAACTTTTTCAAAATTTTTAATTTTTTTTTTCGCCTCAGAGGCTTAGAAAAATTTTTTCGTTTCATGACTTGACAGGTCCTCATAGAAAATTCATTCCAGCTTCCGAAAATGTCTTCTAATTTGCTGTGCAACCATCGGTAGCTGAAATATTTATAGTTGAAGACAAATGGGCTTTTGCAAAAGTATTGCTTTTATGAAAGTAATATAATTCTCTTTAATTATGTTTTATGAATTTTCTTGAATTTAGGAAAATTTTGTCAACTTTAAGTGGCATTTTGCGTTTAATTGGACAATTTAAACATTTTTGTTTTCAACTTTCGGAATTTATGACGTTAAGATGACATCGTTATGACGTTCTTATGACCAATAAAAGATTAATTCATGGAAATTCTGAAAATTTAGAAAAAATTCATCAATTTCTATGCAATCTTATGATAAATCTTAATGAAACTTGAGAAAAACGTATAAACTTAATCCTTTCCAACTCTTAAATTCATATAAATTTAAATAAACGTTTTTAATATCAATCGTGGTGCAGACAAGTGAGCAGCATTCAAGACTCCGAACTCAATGGACCCGAGTTCAAGCCCAGCACACGCCAGGATTTTTCAACTCTAAATCTTCTTCCTCAGCATGTAATCAGTCTCGAAATTATTATTCGAACCCAAAACCGCATAATTGAATGTTACTTTTTTTTCATAAAATTTTCTTCCGCGTAATTAATTTTGACATCAGTTATATATCATAAGGACGTCATAATTACGTCATATAAACGTCATAAATGTCATGCAAGCGTCATACTTACATCATAGGTACGTCATACGTATTACGTAAGAATCTTACGTTAGGAAGGGAGAAATTATGAGTCATATATGACTTACATCTTACGTAAATCATGACGTAGCATGACGTCATTCTGACGTCAGTTTGACATAATTGTGTTCACTGGGATATATGATTATTATTGTTTGAACATAAAAGAATCTATAATTGACAACCACCAACAAGTAATATCGTTTTAGCAATTAAAAAATTATAATTCTTTGATAGATAAAAATATTTATTTTTCAAATTTGATCAGTTTTAATCCAGAGTCTTACGAAAAAAACAGTATTCATTTGTGTTTAAAATTATCATAACTACAATCGCGTTCATTCATTCGAGTCAGTTTTTATGTTTAGGGATTTATGGCCACCCCTAAATTTGGAGGTTTCTAAAATCTAAAATTTCTAAAATCTAAATTTAGGTTTCTAAAATCTAAAAACATGGAAAAAATTTCCATGTTAACGATTTATCAAAAAGGATACCTGATATTTTTAATTTACAGGCCCGTTGTAGTTCATTGTTATTGAGAAATAATCTTGCTGTCTCCAGTTGGATTTTATTTTTAGGGTAAAGATCATAAACTCTGATTTGCTTGTGGAAAATTTGAAGCCTGTTTTGTTGGTCCAGTTTGTTGAGTGGTTTAATGACATTTTAAGGATGTTGCAGATGTTTTGGGGGTCTTTACCTGAGCAGAAGATTGTTACCCTGTTTAAAAACTCCCGTAGGATCCCATCAAAAGCGACAAAAGCCACTTAGAAACCAATAGAATGTATTGGTTTCTAAGTGGCTTTTGTCGCTTTTGATGGGATCCTATGGGAGTTTTTCAACAGGGTAGATCGTCAGCGAAAAGATGAGCGTGAGACGGGTCTGATATACACTTGACTACTTCATTGACGGCTATTAGGAATAGGAGAACGCTTATTACCGAGCCTTGCGGGAGACCATTATTAATTGTTCTGGGATTAGATAAAAAGTTGATAACTCTTACTTGCATAAGTCTTTCTTTTAAGAAATTATTTATGAAGTTGAGTATTGGCCCAAGTAGTTTCAGTTCGTTAGTAAGGATGTCGATGACTCTTGCTCTGTGGACCATTTCGTATGCCTTTATAATATCGAAGGAAATTACTACCGCTGTTAGCTTATGGGAAAATGCCTTTTGATGTAGCTGTGTAGGTAGTGGTTGATAAAGTGAGCTTTTCTGAAGCCATTTTGAGTAGCCGAGAACCATTGGAGATTTTCTAGAAGCCAAGCGAAGCGTTTATTTATCATTTTTTCCATGATTTTATCTAGGTTACAAGCTAATGAGATAGGTCGGTAATTTGAGGGGTTAGATGGGTCTTTACCCGGTTTAGTAATTGGAACTATGGTAGCTAGCTGCCAATCTTTATAGAATATAATCCTCGTGCTCAGCCTGGTTTTCTTCGAAAACCATCAAATAGATTATATGATATCTCAATAGATTGGGATATTTTTAGCAAATCTTTCTCCGAAAAAATTCTTGACCTCAAAGAATAATTCAGCTCAGGTGAAGAGATATCCAGATCAGGTATACCAATTTTGTTGTTTCAATTGAGGATTCCATCCTCGAAGCATGTCCCAAAAAACGGAGAAGAAACCAGAAGACTGGTGGTGATATAGGTCAAAATAATCCTAGGAATAACCCCCCGTGTGTGTGGTGAAATGAAGAATGTGTAACAGGGTTTTTATTCCCTGTATGCGTCCCTCCCTGCGCCTAAATTTGGCAACAGATCCACACTCGGTGTGTCTCTGAATTTTATTATTTTGTATCTATTTATTAATTTATTAATTGAATTTATTAATATTATGATTATTTAGGTTAAAAATTTTTGATATTTTTGTTATTAATTTAAGAATTAATTTTACTTTATTTCAGACATTTATAATGAATTATTTATAATTCATTATTATTATTATTTGTATACATTGCCGTAAATCATTGTAATATATTACCTAATTTCTCTGCTATTAAAAACCTGGAAAGAGTTGCTAGCGGTATTTTAAGGCTGCTAGAACGACTAGGTTTGGATCTTTCAGTGTCTAAAACCAAATTGTGCATTTTCAGTAAAAGTAATGTAGCTCTTCAGAACAGAGAAGGTAATAAAAGAGTAAAAGGCCAGAGAAAGGGGAAGTTTAGGATTGCTGGTTCAGAGATCGAGAGTTGTGAAGACGTTCGTTTTCTTGAAGTGCAATTACAATCTTGGCTTAGATGGAATCTACAAATAGATAGGATTGATAAAGTTTGTCGCAACTCGCTGACGACAATAATAATTTTCAATTTTTTTAGCGGGAAGTTAAAAAACTGCAGTAAATGTTTTGTGACGTCTGCTAAAATTAAAAATTTTTGTTTTTTTTTTAAATATATGTAACTTTTCATTTTTAATTTACAATTGTCATACCCTTGAAGTCTGTACAAGAAAAATCTGGCTTAGCTTTCCCACGATTCGATGACGACACTCTTTCCAATTTCGGGACCTTTATTTTCAATACCTTTTAAATTTTTAACGACTTCGTTTTTTTTTTTACTTTCGAATTAGTAATACTGTGAAAGTATCATCACATTTTTGCTGTTTATCTACTCATTTCAGCCAATCACGAACGAGAAACTGATCGTTTGAAAAGTCTGGCAACACTGTACTCCGTTTGATTTAACACAGAAAAAGCATGAAAAATGAGGGCAGCACCATCGTGCACCTGACCAATAATAAGATTTGCAGGAACGTGGACAAGATAATTGTTAAAAAACGCAGACAATCAATTCCGCAACGTTTCGGTTATTTTATTTAACCTTCATCAGGCGTCTAAGATATACATAAATAATACAATTCAAATAAACACGTTACATAGCAATACAGTAATATATACCACATCACAATAAAAAATTTACCTTGATTTACAATGCGCAACAATATACATTAAATGCATTCGCATCCTCAGACTCACTCATCCCAATTTATAAAATTGAATATTTTTATAAATTATATAAAAAAAAAAACTAAAAACAACAGCCAAGCACACGGTGTAATGTCACAGTAGTAAACACATCCACCATGACACTATGCGAGTGAGACCAAACATCAGTCATATGCGCTCTCACAACTAGCGCCATTAGTTTATACAGTCGCCACCGCGGAAATTTCAAAATAAAATTCTAAAGAATAAACAATACAATTACAAGTCAGACAAAATTCTCACAAGCTAACTAACCCGTCAGCACTCACGTTAGGAGCATTTTGCTCACGCTCGATTTAAAACAATACAGGAGTAGCTTGGAGGGGGCCTGGTACTGCGAAGTAATGCTAACGCGGTCCCGCAGTATCAGGTACAAGAGAGGGGAGGGTTTTAGTGAGTAAGAATCTCACACTACCGGCAACCAATATCTCCAACATCTAGGCGGTGTCTTATGAAGATTTCCCTCCTCTCGCCCAAAAAAAAAAAAAAAAAAAAAGCTCATCCTGATGTTATAATCATCAAGAGTTTCATTTGAGTACCCACATGCATTTTTGATATATTTTTTATATATACATATATATAATATATATTAATATATGAAAAAATGATGTGGGTACTTAAATGAAAGATCTTGATAAGTATAACATCGGAATGAGCTTATATCTTAAAAAATGTCAATAGTTCACAAAATTCAAGGTCATTTCTTAATTATGTATCTAGAGATAGAGCATTTTCGAATGCAGCCTAAATACTTATCATCATAAATTCAATGCTTACTTTTACTGAATAACTTATAATACAATTGGTAACTTTAACCACTTGTGATTGTAAATGTAACCATCTCGATAGTAAATGGTACGATCGCTCTATTTTAGGAATTATTATTTTATTATTGTACTGATTAAAATTTAAATTGTTATATTTATCATTTCAACTTTTGTAAAATTAATTACCATCTAAGATAGTAAAATCTACAAAACAAGTATTGTTAGGGTTAATATAAAATTCTCTCCGTGCAAGATCTCAAAAGATCGGTATGATATTTGGCTTACTGGATAGAATGGTCAGGCTTAGCAGTGAGAAGTATCATGATGAAAATTGAATTAGAATTGAGCGTCTATGACGGAGTAATGGATATCCAAGATCGTTGGTCCTTGCAACAATTAACAAATTTAAAGAACGGGTAGGAAACAATGTGTTGGGTCGCGGTAGAACTAATAATTTCATTAGTTACTGTCGGTTTCCGTTCGTGCCGGATCTATCATACGGGGTAGGCAGATGTTTTTTGGGTACTAATGTAAAGTTGGCATTCTATAATGTTTGGAAGATCAACTCGCTGTATACGAGGTTGAAAGATCCTATATCTCGGGATCTTAGAGCAGGTGTGGTTTACAAAATCCCTTGCTCGTGTGGTCTGTGCTACATTGGCCAAACTAAACAATACCTAAAGAGTAGAGTTAGCCAACATGTTAATAGTTGTAAGAATACTAAGATCTTAGATGAAAACAAAACGACATTAGCTGCTCATTATTTTGACTCAGGCCATGTCTTTGATTATAGTAATGTAGAGATCTTAGATGTTGAAAGTAATTGGTTTAAAAGGAATTTCAGTGAGATGGTGTGGATCAAAGTTCATGATACTGTAAACAAACGTACTGATTCCCAAAATTTGAGTTTAATTTACAATGATTTATTGTCAATGTTCAGGGATACATTTGCCAATTGATGGTGTTATTTATTCTTGAACTAGTTGACGGATTTTGATATTAGTTAGCTTGTGAGAATTTTGTCTGACTTGTAATTGTATTGTTTATTCTTTAGAATTTTATTTTGAATTTTCCGCGGTGGCTACTGTATAAACTAATGGAGCTAGTTGTAAGAGCGCGTATGACCGGCGTTTGGTCTCACTCGCACAATGTCATGGTGGATGTGTTTACTACTGTGACATTACACCGTGTGCTTGGCTGTTGTTTTTAGTTTTTTTTTATATAATTTATAAAAATATTCCATTCTATAAATTGAGATGAGTAAGTCTGAGAATGCGAATGCATTTAGTGTATATTGTTGCGCATTATAAATCATGGTAAATTTTTTATTGTGTTGCGGTATATTTTACAGTATTGCTATGTAACGTGTTTATTTGAATTGTATTATTTATGTATGTCTTAGACGCCTGATGAAGGTTAAATAAAATAACCGAAACGTTGCGGAATTGATTGGTTGCGTTTTTTAACAATTATCTTGTCCACGTTTCTGCAAATCTTATTATATATTTATTAATATGGATGCTAATAATAATAATAATAATAATAATAATAATAATAATAATAATATTAATAAATATTATTATATTAAAATTGTTATCATTTTGAATTTATATAAAAATAGAAAAATACTTTTGAAGTGAAACTTCTTTAGAATCGTTGTGACTTCAAACCGGATGCAACGGAAAAAACGACAGGTAAGAGACACAAATACAAAAATGTGTAGGATTAAGCCGGCAAAGAATGAGACAGAAATATACATACTATTTTATATTATCGGTCTCTCCTTTTTGTTCCATACTTAGTAGCGTCCCCGATCCCGTCTTCTAAGCATAGTCGCCTGTAATTAGTGAGCCAAAGCGAGAGAGCAAATGTCGGTGTGTATGTATATTGCACACTGTTTAATACTTGCTTGTATTTGAGCATTTAACGTGTGTTAGTATATGTGAAAAGTACGTGAGCTAATACTACTTTACACTGTATGCGGCTGCGTATTACAGCTTTTCAGTAAGATTTCAGCGTGGTGAGTTATTATTTAACAGTGTGTTTGTGAGTATTTTTATATCTTGTTGAGCTAAATAATAAATTTTATAAGATGCCGAAAACTAATGCCGAAATGTGTCGTCAACATCGACACAAAAAAAAATGAAAATAAAATTTAAACCATTCTTAACACAAGTCGGTAACATCTTGAATCAATGTTATCGCCTATCTTGAACCAAGAGACAAAAATTCTTGAAAGAGATATATATCTATATCTAGTTTCAAGAGTTCAAGTTTTGAAGAAAAAAAGTTTCTTGAATCAAGATTATTTTTCTATCAGTGCAGCCAGAAATTCCATACTCACGGTTTCGTCAAAATAAGTTTGCTCATAAAGAATTTAAATTATGTAACATATGTTAAATAAAATATCTTTTAAAATTAATCAAAATACTTTCATTTTTAAACAAATAAACTTTGTAATTATCCTACCCTTGTTATATATATTCATCTCATTCTTTTGTCGATTTACTGAAGTTTCACTTCTATCGTGTGTGAATCGCACACACACCTTTTTTTTTTTTCATAAAATAATCATTGTTATTTTTTGTAATAAATGAAATTAATAACTATAATATTACACCTAACGTAATTTAAACTTTTCAAATTTGTCAGCGCATGCGCGTTTCACTTCTTTCGCGGCTCACAAAACTTGCGCTGTTGCCACAGCTTTATTAACGTATCTCCTCCTCGGCTAAACTCTGGTGAATTTTTCATTACTTATTAATAAATATCTCTGAAACTGTTTGGTAATAATCAATAAATTTTTTTTTTAATTGTTTAGTTGTTAGATAACGTTACTCTAGTTTTTTAAAAAGATCCTAAGAAAAGTTTCTGAGATATAAAAATGTTTTTAGGTAAACTTTTCGATATCCCGTAAACCGTAATGTATAAGAGTGTTCAAAACTCAAACTTTGAAATTAAATATCTTGGAAACTAGATGGTCAAAAATTCTCAAATTGCGCCAATCGATGCAGAATTATATAAATATTCATCTGCCGAAGTTTAAAAAAAATCCTAAGAAAACGACTCTGGCGAAGGTAATACCTTAATCAAAATCAGTTGGTTTATTTCAGAAATATCGTTTAATCTATACTAATATTATTAAGAGGAAAGATTTGATTGTTTGTTTGTTTGCATTGAATAGGCAACGAAACTACTAAATCGAACAATCTTTTACACGACTTGCGCAGGACTGCTCTGAAGTTCGATAATTGGTAGCTGATCATGCCTGATCAAGCATGGTAATTATTCATGTCTGATCAGGCCTGAAGACTCATGCCTGTTCATGTATGAGAAAAAATTTTTCTATATAATCATATATAATTGTATATAATCATATATGATTATGTATGGAATCACATATATAATTATGTACAATTATATATAATCATATACATGATTATATATAATCATACATGATTATATATGGAATTGTATATAAGATTATATATAATTATACATGATTGTATATGGAATTGTATATGAGGTTATATATAATCATATATAATTATAAATGACTATATATGGAGCAATGAGCTCGTTCAAGTTTACTAAGCTCTTTGCAGATCTTAGCAGATCTAGTACCAAAAACTGAAAGTGACTACATTCTCTCTAAAAAATATCTATAAGAAAACAATCCAAGGTATACTAATCTAAGCTCAGTCCAGCTAAGAACTTAATAAATTTGAACGAGCCCAATGTACAACCATGCAGGATTATACATAGTTCCATATACAATTATATATAATTATATATGACTGTATATAGAGCAATATACAGCCAAGCAAGATTATATAGAGTTCCATATATGATTATATATAATCATACATGATTATATATGGAATTGTATATGAGGTCATATATAATCATATATAATTATTAGGGTGCTTCTTTTTTTCAACTATTTTTTTTTTTCGGTCCCATCGTGAAATTTTGTTGCAAGTACCCTAGAAAAAATACCCTGAAAGTTTGGACCCTTAATATTAATATTAAGACCTCGACCCAGGCGTTTAAAGATTTCCCCTTAAAATAACACAGAAACTTTGGCTTTTTTATGTTTAAATTTCTATAGCTCAGTGGCATTTCATAGCATTGCTTCGACCATGGACGGGTTTTTTTTAGAATTAAATGGTCTACAAAAATGTCCATTGCGACCAAGCTGTAACTCGAACCGGCAAGGTAGTACAGGCCTCTAAACTTAATTTTTCTATTAAATTCGCGTTTTTTCGCATTTATCTCGCGAATGACAAAAGCTACAGAAAAAATGTGAGCAACAAACTTGTAGAAAATTTAATTTCCTACAAAAAAGATTTAAAGCACAAAGTCGCTAAAATCAAAATTTTCAGAGATATTTAATGATCAATTTTTAGTCATTTCAAATGTTTATCGAAAATTGCGTCAAATTATAAAAAATATCTTTTAAAAATATTATTAAATATGTTTATCGAAAATTGCGTCAAATTATAAAAAATATCTTTTAAAAATATTATTAAATATCTTCGAAAATATTGATTTTAGCGACTTGGTGCTTAATACCTTTTTTGTAGAAAATTTAATTTTCTACAAGTTTGTTGTTCACATTTTTTCTTTAGCTCTTGTCATTCACGAGATAAATGCGAATAAACGTGAATTTCATGGAAAAATCAAGTTTAGAGCCCTGTACTACCTCGTCGGTTCGAGTTACGGCTTGGCCGCAATGGGCACTTTTATAGAGCTTTCAATTCTGAAAAAAACCCGTCCATGGTCGAAGTGATGCTATAAAATGCCACTGAGCTATAGAAATTCAAACATAAAAAAATCAGAGTTTCTGTGTTTTTTTAGGGGGAAATCTTTAAACGCCTGGGTCGAGGTCTTAATAATAATCTTAAGGGCCCAAACTTTCTAGGAATTTTTATTTTTGGGTACTTACAACAGGCATGATCATTTTTTTCCGGGTGGACATGGGTCTTGCTGCAAATACTTGTGACAGTTTTAAATCGCTAGCACCTGCTGCAAGTTTCTGGTACTAGATGTGCGTCAGAAACCATCAAGCCATTATAATATGAGTAAGTTATACACAATTTTTGAGTCAGTTTCTGCTGACACGATCTTGTGCAAGGCACAAACGTAGATGGAGACGCTAGAAACTAAGGATTTGCACAAGGCTCTGCAACGGGAATCTATTTTTTTTTCGTGCAGATATATTCATTTATTTTAATCAAGATTTGAGATAATGAAACTTACCATTTCTTGTTTCTAAAGCAGGTATGTAACGAGACAACCGAACTATGGGAAGAGGCAAGTATCCATTTTTCAATGGCATAATATCCAGAGTCACGTTCTGTTCATCACAAGTATCAAGTGTTATAATTCCTGCCGTACGACCGCAGATAGCCCACATTGATTGATCATCCAAAACCTCATACATGAGTTGAGGCAAAGTATTCAAATGAACTTTAGGCAATATTCGTGTTATGTTTAAGTGAAGATGACATATACTCCCGGAACGACAAAATTCACCTGCATTTCCATTAGCTTTTACTTTCGATGTTACAGTGAATATGGACTAAAAATACTATTGTAAATTAAAAATGAAAAAATGTGTGAATTTTTGTGGAATAATAAATTGTTCAATTTCTTACGACATAATTTGAAATCTCGAAGTAGCATCGATATGTGTTATTTGACCTCTCTAATTTTAGAAGTTTGTTTATTTGAAGAGGATCGTCATTAATATTGGATTCATACAAGTCATCTGTATGATCAATCATAGAATATTTTACATTAAAATCAAATTTTAAAGGATTTACTATGGTATAATTTCTTCCCAATTTCATTTCCCACAAATATGACACTTTGATTCCATTTCTGATAATAAATTTTTGACCTGCAGTAGGATTAAGACTCTTAAAATTTATAACTACAGAAGTGTTTATTATCAATTCTGGATCAGTCAATTGCAAAGGTTTTTTTGTAAGGCCTGTAACAACGATCTGTAGAAATTTTCTTTCTTTAATTGTATGAACAGTTAAAGACGACATCAAAGGAGGTTCAAAATTCAATAATATACTTTCTTGAGCACTCCAAGATGATTGAATATATATCTATAAAACAATTTTATTAATATAATTATTTACAAGAAACATGAAATATAGAAATATGAACTTATATAATACTTTGTGTTCCATAGATGACGAATCTCTTTTTGGTGGTAGTTCAGAATAAACCTGCAATTGCAATTTAATTATTTGCCACGGTTCATACTCAGATAATACAATTTCAATCTCATTGGATGTACTTTCCGTACTATTAGCAAGTTTTATCATTAAGCCTCGTGATGTCCATAATTTTATTTTGGTACCTTTTTGAATTTTTACACTACCATTAGATATTATCAATTCAGTATTTTGAACAACTCCCGCAATAAGATCTCGACCATTGATAGAAATTGATGGTTGCGTCTTCATAATTTTATAATGTACTTGTGGTTTAATAAGTTCAGATTGAAATATTAATTTTTCATTAATAATTAGTGATAATCGGTTGATTCGGTAAGTTCCGGGTTTATTGTCAACTATGGAAATCTTCAAGTTGTTCTCACCAGATTCTATTTCGAATCTATTTTTGTCAAGTACTTCGTTTACAACTTCATCTACATATGTACTAAATTTTTCACTTTTTTTTCTGTCAGTTTGGTTAATAAGTGGCTTAACGTTTTTATTTATAATACCAACAGATTCAATACTCATATCTTCTCTAAAATCTATGTACGGATAAACTTGTAATTTAGTAAGCTGAGAGTTCTCTTGTTGCAAGCTTTTTTTAGTCCATTCAGATAATCTGTAAAAAAATATGTAAAAGCTTTTTTTTTAATTTGCAACCATATATTTGGGTGCGAAAATTCAATTATATACATACAAAGTTATTTGAGATTCCGGATGACATTTTAATTTTGAATCAGCATTCATTTCAAGAATTTTTTCTACAGAAATAGATGCACGAACGTCTTTTATGGTTGTTGGAAATAGTGACTTTAAAGAAATATTCACATTCACAATAAAATTTTCTATAACTTTATCAACGATGTTCACATCTATCTTTAGTAGCTCAAAACAATTATCAAATTCAATAAATAGTGGCTTAGCTACAGGGAATACTTTGGTATGCGTCAATATTTCTTCAAAGTAAGTTTTTCGCGCGGCTATGTTCAACACTGTGGAACAAGCAATTAGACAACACATTTTTGTGTATTTTTTCGAATTATTCATTTTTTTATAATATTCAGTTAGTTTCAATTGAGTTTTCAATGCTAACAAATTCCAGCCTTCATCAGTATATGTTTTTAAAGCATCTAATAAAAAGGTAATAGCTGTTTGATTTTCATCTAAGCTACTGTAAAATTGTGCTAATTCTTTTCCGATATATCTTGCTGATCTGATTCTTCCTATATGTTTGTAAGTTCCCATAGCTAATTCTGAATACTCTAAAAATTGTTTTGTAAAAATCTCATTAGATGACAATGCGCTCTTAAATTTGTTAGTATATAAAACTTCCTCTTGAGTTTCAATGGATGTATTATTTAATCCGGCTATAAGATAAATAACCGTATGAAGCTGTTCGCTAGTCGGCTTTGAAATATGAGGCATAAGACCACATAATTTTCCTAATTTACCTAACTAAACATCATAAGAATCTTATGAAAATTTATATACTTTCAAAATTTTTGCAGTTGAAATGTCATTTAAATTTTTTTACCTTTTTACTTGCCAGAGCCCATAAATCAGCTGTATATAGAGAGCAAAGATCAAGATGTTGACTGTTATCTGCTGATATCAATAATGTTTGACAAACATCTAAAATTTCTAATGCACAAAGAATTGACCAACATTCCACTGATCCATCTGGTAAGCTTATTTCTAGTATCCGTAATTCACTCAAGGTATTATATACAAACAATAAGCAGCGTCGAGCAATCTGTCGATTTTTCAAGAAAAATTAATTTTAACGCAAATGATAAGAAACATTCATAAAATAACATCCTCTTATACCAACCTCCCATGGCTGTTTAAGCAAAAGTAATATTGCACATTGTCTGCTAAATAAATAGTTTCTGAAATCTAATAATGAAGCTTTTTCATTAGCAATCAACTCTCGTAAAAAATTATCCAAGCTTTTCTTCAAGTTCACCGCTCGCCAATCATTGAATGGATTTTTGAATGTATCTAACCAAGATGGAGTTTCTGTAAATAAATTTTTTATTATACCTGAACTAATAGTAAATTACTATGGAATTATACAGTTATGAATTCAAAAACTGTTTTCAATAGTTTCTAATATCACAAAAAATAATTCTAAGCATTCCAAATTAAAATTTTTAAACAAAATATTCAACAGTTATACTGTTCTATAATTTTTTATAGAGTCTTAGCCGAGCCTTCGAACTGAACGGACGTGTCTGCATAGTGAGAGTGGTTTAATTAAGAATATAATTGTGCAGTGCACTACCTATAGTTCGCTTACCCAAAATCTGATTATTTATCTCTCGAATCGCAAATAATCGTATATGCGTATACCTTGCAAGCAAATCAATAGCTGATTATCTCGTTGACACCCACAAGAATATCACCATTGGAAACAACATCTTAAACATTCGCCCTTTCATAATTAGAAACGAAAGAATTGTATTCTCTAACGTCCATGAAATATCCCACCAATCATCCCCCACAGCTACATTCAAGACACTCTCGATCGACTTCAAGTGAAAACAATGTCTCCGTTTACCTTTCTCAGAATTGGTATTAACGAACCCAGATTTACTCACATCATGAGCTTCCGAAGACAAGTGTTTGTTAGCCCTGAATAAAAAAAAGTATTGAGACAAAGAAAAAAGTATTGAAAAGTATTGGATTGACTAAAAAACCAATACTTTTCAATGCTTTTTTGTCTCAATACTTTTTTTTAACCAGGGAGCCCTGATGACATCACTAAAATTCCTGAGTGTTTACAAATTCCTTTCGATGACGCAGTGTACAACATCTACCCCTCCACAGACTCATTGGCATTCTTCGTGTGCCATAAATAGGGACACAGCAAAAGATTGCTCAGAAAACAACAAGACATCTCATCAAAACTTGTACGATATACAAGAAATTACCTCCTCTCCTTCCGCCACTGCCGCCTCCGGCCCCAGTGATCACAGCAGTGAGGAAAATAAGGTGTTAACACCCTTCCCCCATCCAAGTTAACAAGTAACTCATCAAGCATCATGCCCCCTCCAAAATCCCTACTGACCCCATCGAACAATACACAATCTGCAATCCCAAAACGTCCCCTCTCAACATCTTCTAACTCCGAACTAGTTATGGAAGTGGACATTACTAAACAAGCCCGACAGACTGATAACAACCCGGCAAAAGCAGAGCATAAAAAGCCCAGAACTGAGTACGATCACAGTTCAAGATTTATTCTCCCACCAGCTATTGAAAAAGAAATTTCGACCAACCCAGGAAAATACAAGTTTTCCTTCGACCAACTCCAAAACTTATTCGACAAAGCGACCCAGTCTGGCACTGTTTAAGAGATTATTACTGAGTGTAATTTCTCGCCCTTGGATGTAAGACACACTTTGACAACCTTATTCAAGTACCTACAAACAAGAGGACCAAAACAAAGATTTAGCAGACTTAAAAATAAAATAACCAAGGAATTTAATCTACCAGTTGGAGAAAAAACCTGGCTAACATCGGAGTCGGACTCTGAACAAAGCTCAACCGAAACAATACAACAACCCCATATTCTCCACCCTTCTCTACCCCATTCCCCTTCACCTTCTCTACCCCATTAAGACATCTTCACCCATCTAATAAATAATCATTCTCTACTATGAACATATTACAATGGAATTTAAATGGACTAAGTACACGATACGAACATTTAAGACTCCTGATATAAACAACAAACCTAACATTATGTGTATTCAAGAAACTCACTTCAAAGGCAATTCCTCTGTCAACCTCAATGATTACAAATGTTTCTTTAAAAAAAGACTATCAGGACATGCGAGCGGTGGGGTTGCCATACATGTCAGGAACAACATACCATGTAACCAAATCATTGTAAACAGCAATCTTGAAGCAGTAGTCGCTTCCATCCACCTACACAAGAAAATAAACATCTGTAATCTATACATCCCTAACAACCACAACTTAACAGCTCATGAACTAAATAACATTACTAACCAAGTAAAAGACCCTTGCATTATAGTCGGTAACTTCAACAGCCACAATTACATATGGACTTCCCACAAAATCGACTCAAATAGAGGAGCTAACATCGAAAACTATATAGATAACTGCAACCTTAATATGCTAAACAACGGTTCTTCCACTCACTTCAACATCTCATCAGGTACAGAAACCCGGGAAAAAAAGAATTTGCCTAATCATATATATTTATATATGATTATATATTGAATATATAGAATTATATATAATTATGTATGATTATATCTAAATTTTTATATAAAATATATATAATCATATATAGACTAATATATTGTATGTATATTTTATATAAGTCTATATATAATCAGATCTGAGTTATCTAGGTCTATATATGATTATATATAAATCTATATATAATTAGATCTGATTAGACCTGAGTTACCTAGGGCTATATATGATTATATATAAATCTATATATAATTAGATCTGATTAGACCTGGGTTATCTAGGGCTATATATGATTATATATAAATCTATATATGATTATATCTGATCAGATCTAATTTATATAGGACCATGTATATAATTAAACGTAAAGCTATGTAGATAATTATATCTAATCAAAATGTAAATTATAAATTTACATTCATTAATATATAATAATATATTATTAGATGCAGCATTTTTTGATGATTATATTTAATAAATATTTTGTTGAGTTAATTTGTTCCACTTGCAATGTCATATGATATGAAGATTGCTTATAAACAAAAATCATCTTTATAAATGATTTTTTTGCTTTTGATTTTAAATAAATATTTGTTAACTGTTAACAAATATTCATTAACATTTAATATATCGTATTTAATGAATAATTTATTAACTGGTAATAAATGTATATTAAATCCCATGATGTTAAAAAAATCACTTATTATCAGTCAATAAATATAAACAAATCCTTCTATCAATATCAGTGTAACTATACGGAAATCATATATAATTATATATGAATCATATATAATTATATATGAATTTTGTGATTACTATAAAACATTCTCTGTTTTCATCTCAGAGTCTGCTACTCAAATGATTAATAATCTTTTAAACTATAGTTTTTTGTGGATGAAATAATGGAACTGTATTAATTAATTTAACTTATAAAAATCGATTATGTATTCGATTTGCATTAGTTGCAGGTATTTCAAGCTCTACTCTCCCAGTAAGTCTCGTATAGGTAAACAGGTAGTGTGTTGGTCTTTGAAGCGTCAGGTCCCCGGTTCGATCCCCGCTCGCGGTGAATTTTTTTTATTTTTATAGAAATAATTATATATAATTATATCTAATTATATATGATATATATGATATGATATATATGATATTATATCTAATTATATATGATTAGATCTGGCCAATTTCCAGGTCTAATTATATATAAGTGAGATTATATATAACCATATATGATTAGGCAAATTCATTTTTTCCCGGGAAGCTGCATAAACCTCACTCTGAGCCCAGATCTAACAGAGAATATCTCCTGGAGAACTGACGACAACTTCTATGACAGCGACCACTTCCCCATCCACATCTACATCGAGGACCCTAATCACGTAACAGAGGAAGCAAGCACCCTTGAATGAAAATTCCGCAAAGACAGATGGGCTCTCTTTGCTCAAACTGCAGAAGACAATATTAAACTGATTATCACTCCTAATCCAGAACAACCTATTGCTGAAATTATAAACAATCTAGTTCCAGCCATCAAAGATGCCGCTGTATGGCATTTCCCAAAATATCAAGCAATAAACGCAATAAACAATACGAATGGTGCTCCGAAGAAACCAAGAAATCCTTAGATGACAAAAAAAATACTTTCAGAAATTACAGAAGAAACAAAACAGACCTCGAACTACTAATAGAGTACAAAAAATGTCGAGCGATTGCTAGAAGGAATCTCAAAGAATCCAGAAGATCATTTTCGCAAAAATTCGTCTCCTCTCTAAATTGTCAAACTTCCCCAGAGATAATCTGGAAAAAAATTTTTTAAATGAATGGAAACAAAACTAACTACATTTCAACCACTCTGATCGACAAAAATAATACTCCACTCACCAAAGACTTAGAGAAAGCCGAAATTTTAGCCAACACTTTCGCCTTCAACTTCAGCGATGATAACTTTCCCGAAACATTCCGCAATAACCTCAACAATCAACCTCAAACAGCTTACCTAATGCCACACAAGAACCTCAAACCAGTGATAAAATAAAAGATATCCTTTCCCAACTTAACGCTCCCTTCACTATTCACGAACTAAATCAAGTACTAAAAAAATAAAAATTCCAACCCAGGACCAGATGAATACCAACAATATTGATTAAACATTTATCAAATGCTATCCTTCAATACATTCTCGACACACAACCATATCTGGACTCACAACGTTTCTCAAAAGATCTCTACTTCTCAAAACTGAAGGTAAATCGATACTTCAATTTATTTTTCATATCAAAAGTTAAAAAAAAAGCTCAATGTTCAAGGGAATACTATCAGATATTTCAATTAATTTTCTTATGTTTAGGCAGTTATATTTCTTAATGAGTTTAAAAATCTAAATATGATATCGATAAAAATATTTTTACATCAATTTCACAAATATTGAAGGTTAAACTTGATATTCTTTCAGTTTCAGCAAAACATAAGGAAACAAAACAGTATTATACGTTGTATAACACATTAGACGATAGTAAACTTTATTTAAATAAAGAATTATCTCTGCTGAATTCGATTCAAGATAATTACCTAAGGTAATAGTTATATATTACATATTCAGCGTAATTTGTAATCTTATTGATTTTCCAAATGCGTCTTTTTCAACCAGAGCTATTTCATCAAGTGGAAGAGAGCAGTTTTTAAAACAATTTGAAATAATTATTAAAGATGTCCAGAAAAATAAAGAAAAGGTAATGAACATTTCTTAACCCTTTCGAGTCTGACCTTGAAACCCTACTCTTGGGTCTTACTACGGATTTACGCTCTCCCCACTACTCTCACGCGTAGACGTTTCAAGATCCTGTGACTCTAAAGAGTTAAAATGTATAAACTTCAGAATTCTAATAAGTATTTTCTGTCCTCCGAACAGAAAGCGCCAACTTTCGGGCCGCTGCGCTCAACAAAGTTGCCGCTTTCTGGGTCCGTTGAACAGAAAAATAATATACTGACCTTGGCCAGTAAAGTGAGAAAGCCTCAGATTACATGTTTGTCGATCTCAGCTTCGCTTCGGCCGACAATTACATGTGATCTGAGACATTTTTCACTTTTCTGGCCTAGGTACATGACATACTATATATATCATACATTAGACACGAAAATTAAGGAATATAAAAAAAAAAGTGTGTGTCAGCTCCGACGCACGACTAGAGTTTACTCCTTACGAACGATTATCCTATATACTAAAATTGATGGTACAATGAAGTTAGCTTAGTATCGAAAACATGGACCCTGATTCCTTATTGGATCAAGATTAGAGCGCGCGCGTATGCGCGCAATTTGAATTTCTAGTAAAATAAATAGATTAGTGAATAAGGGTACATGAATGAATTTCTTATATTACTTAAAGTATGCATGACACATCTACAGATTGATTTTTATTCATTGAGTAATTTTCTCAATTTTGAAATAAATATCAATTGATATAAATTTATATTTATATCAATTATAAATAAAATATAAAATTTACGATAAAACCTCCGCAAGTTGACAGTTGTTGTAAGTTAATATCAGGTTAATACAATATGCAATTGAAAGTAAATATATTAATTATCGTATTCGGCTTATTAAACCTACCTCGGGGTAAAATAAATGAATAGCAGCTGACTGGATCTGAAGTTTTCAAGATTTAAAAATTTAATTTGAGGTCCAATCAAATGCTTTTGTATTCACTGCCCCGGGGTAGGTTTTGTAAGCCGAACACGACAAATGATTATTTGAATCGGAATTTTTAATTATTTGAAAATTTTGAATCGGCTAATTTTACGTAATGCTAGG